TTGTTCCAGCTTTTACTGAAAAATAAAGAACAAAGGAGTTCGTGTGATTATGACACACTGTATTGCATAGATCACACCCAAAGACTTCTTTTACTTATCTTTAATGACTGGCCCCATCTGTCTGGATATTGTGACCAGCTCACTTTGTAGAGAATTTCAAAGGCTATCCAATGGTATGTTTTCGAAAAATATTTAATTTATCTTCATGGCAGAAACATTACTATATTACCAACATCAATTCTACAAAAAGTTGCATTTCACTCCAGTAATGATTTAAGCTAAAATACCATTTGTGCCCAATTTCAAGATTTAAATATACTTAGATTCGATCATACTCGACGTACGCTATCTTTTGAATATAGATTGCTTACTTATCCAGAATGAGTGAAAACGATTATGTCTTTTTGCTCTAGCATTTTCATGTCTTCCTTTCCCGAAATTTCTTTTTTAATATTTTTAGTTGACATTCTTGGTAGAGATTCTTTACTGCCATCCCTGCCACGAGCAATTTCTTGATATCTACAAGTATTTATACAGATATTCATCATACATTTTCGAAAAAAGTAATTAAAAGAAACCTACTATGATTCGATGAATCATCGTAACATTCGAACATACTATTTCTTCAGTTAATATTTGCTACCTAATCTTTTTGTTATTTTTAGATTCTGCGAGATTCCTTCTTTCTTTCTTCAACAGTTTTACTAAAACTATATCCAATTTTTGATAATCATATATTCAGTATCGCTACGGAATAGGCATCCACGTGAACGTTTGGCTAAAAAGTCGACTTTAACTTTTCTCAGTATTTTTGGGGGAATCATTGAGTTGGACATGTTTGTTAACTTTTTCTAGAACAATAATAATTTTTCATCTCTATTGGAACAATGGAAAAACTCGGCATATTTGTAATATTACGTCTTCAGTATCGTTTGGAAGATAAAAGATAAATCATAAAATGTTTTGAAATCAAAAACAAAATATTAACATGAATCAGAAGTTTATAGAAATAATTTGACCTATCCCGTTTTTCTACTTTTTGCTTACGATAAACTAGTAGCTATTTTGATGACTGACTATTTAAATAGATATTATCAATGATATTTCACAAAAAACAATCGACAACCTTCTACTTTTCGCACCTTGAAAGATATAAAAGGCTGAAAAAGAATACAGGCAAAAAAAAATTTAATAAAGAGATTGTGAAAAGAAATCCATAAATGAGTAGGATTTTCTTTTCTTTTTTTTGCGTGTGTGTGTGTGTGTGTGTATTGAATAAGACTATCGGAAGTTCATTTGTTAAATCTCGTTTCTTATATTGATTGCTACTTACTTTTCTTCTCTTCTTTTTTTTTTCTATTGTATTTTTTTGTTATTGAGAACATAGATGTTTAATGAGGTGAAACTAAATCATAATGAAAAACGCTAAATTGACTAATCAAGATTTTCTTTAAAACGACATAATTGTTTTTTATAGTCTCTAAAGATCAAGACGACGAAACACGTGTACAATATCAGTGTTTTTAAACGTTCGGAAACAATTAAAAATTTAATTTTTATGAATTGCAAAGAAATAATATGTTGTTTTTCTATAATAAAATGAACTCTTTCAAATCATTTCACTTTTATAAAGTCAACCAAAAGCCTTTCCCTATTAAGCAACTTGAAATTGATCTTTCCGGTTTAGAATGTTTACAATAAAGTCTTTATTTATTAAATATTGAAAACTATTGGAATACCTGTGAGACTATTATTTCGAGATATAAATAAACATCATATGTTAGGGAAATATAGGTCAAACATTATGAAGGACATTAATAAATTGAGATTTTTAGAAAAATCTTTTACATATTACACTTAGCGAATATCTAGCAAATATATATAATCAATAATTTATAAGGGTAACGCAGCCTATCCTTTTTTTTTTGTTGAGAAAACTTTTGTTCCACAGTTGAACATAGCCTAAAAAAGAGAGAAATCAGAGCTACAAAATGAGACCACGCCGCATGCTTCATGACATTTGTGTTTGCCAAAGTTATCAGTATTTAAAGACTTGATGCAAGAGACTGAAAATATATGATGGAGGAAAATCTTCAATTCTCATATTTTCCAATGATTTTTCTTAGAGTATAAGCAACGCTGCAAATATTCTTGAAAAAGTGCCCAAGTGCTGTAATGCTGAAAACACTGGTGATTTCTATCTAGTCACACCAATTTTTTTTAAAGTATTTTCGAAGTCAACTTTCTTTGTAAGAAAGTTTTTAAAATTAAAAAATGACTTTTTACATAGACTTTTTTTTGATATTCTATATTTGGTTAACATTTAGACTCAATCTGATCTTTGCCAAACAGGATGAAAAGAGGAACGAAGAAGATTATCCTTAATAATCATTATTAAGATATTAGAAGTAGAAAACAACAAAATATGCGCAATTTTTCCATAACACATGTATATTTTATGTTTTAATGACATTGAACATGTTGTTCGCTATAACATGATATTCTTTTCATTAAATTATTTGCAGATGTTTATTATATTTCCTGTTATAATAAACGACAACGACAAGAAAAAAGAAAAAAAAAAAAAAAGTTCGATAAATGTTTATTAGCTATGCGCGCGCATAATTGAAAATATCTACATAAAAGAAAGATATTTATAAAAGAAAAAGAACAAAAAAAAAAGAAATTTTTCGCTTCCAAATGATTTATCTTCTATTCAAAAAGAATTGACTTAAAAATATTCAATTAACACGGGAGTAACTTATAGAGCGAAACATTGATTTTATTTTTCAAATATACAATGAATAATGTACACTTTTTCTCCCTTACAAAGGGCAACAATTTGAGCTAATTAAAAAAAGCTTTAAAAAATATTTATCATGAGATATAAGTTTGACAATCATCTAAAATAATGATGTAGATCTACTATAAAACAAAAGCTATGATGATAATGTCTTTGAAAATTTATCACTGAAAATTGGATTTTTCTTGAAATTCCTTGAAATACTTGCCTTTTTTTAACAGTAGAATATCGTGTATGGTTGACAACATTCCAAGATACTTATCTTATTCTATCAAATTGCTAATGATGATCGTGTCTTCATTTTCTATAAGATTTTGCCAGTAGCTATATAATTATCTCATCTTACGATTAATTAGCTGAAGCTTTTACATTCCTTATAGAGATCAGAAAGTGTTTTGGTGATGTATGCAGTTTTCATTTAACTTTCTAGAGACATTCAACTGGTCTTTTCTCCTTTTTTTTTTTTGCAGTTGATATTCGTTGATATCATATGTTTTCCTAGGGACTTATTATTTTTATCGATAAACAATAATAGTATCAAATCATATGTATCTGTATAACAGACAAGGATATAATTTAAAAACAATTTTTTCATCATCAACATCGTCATTTTCTGTATTATTAGTAAATTTATCATTGTTTTAAACATAAAAACCAAGAAGAGAAAGATCGCCGAATTTCCTAATTTTTTCTTTGTTTATACTCATCTTTATATACACAATTATTTTTCCGTGTTGTTTTTTATACTGTATATAATTCATCATGCTTCACATAATGTAAAAATAAAAAGAATAGAACAGAACAGAATACATCGTGCAATTTTAGCTGTTCAATTTTTTTTCTCTCTCCTTCACCTCTATAATTGGTGATAGCATAAGAATTTCTTTTTTTCTCTCTCTCTCTCTCTATCTCTCTTTCTCTCTCTTCAATGTTATGTTCAATTTATAAATATATCTCGCGATACGACTATTTGTTCCAATTATGATTACTACACACTAAATCCTATTTTTGAAGAGAGACTTAAAAAACAAGAAAACGATTTATTCTATCTAATATTAATAATAATAACGACATGTATGCGCGATATTCATTTTTTTTCAAATAAGATGAATTCGATTTATAAGATAACAACGAATGATATTCATCCAAGTGGTAAAATTATTATTTATTATTAGTAAGTACCTGTGTTTTTTTTTTGGCCAATAATCAAATTAACTTTTCTCTTGTTGTTTTTGCTGATAAGCGAATCATTGAGTAGGATGCCAGTTAGACTGGCGCATTTTCTCGTAATCTGAGTACACTCTAAAAAAAAAAATGCGATTTAGGATCAAATCAAGTCGCATTAATATGCCTTATTTTCACAGAATAAGACAGATTAATGCGACTTAATTTGATCCTAAGTCGGATTTTTTTTTTTAGACTGTAGTTAAAATAGGACAAGGATCTTCACTGTGATTATGCAAACAAGAGCCTATCAAGTAGATGAGATAAAATTTTTTGGATTACTTTTCTAGAAAAAATGTGTTCTTTTTTTTTTACCATGATTTGAGCACTTTTTTAAGTAACTGGAAGCATTCAAAAGTCGAAATTTTTAACGTATCTATAAGGTTTTTGTTATCTTGTAAAGTTAGAATTTTCACATTGATATCAACAGTTAGTTGTCAATTTTTGATTTTTTTCCATCTTAGAACAAAAAAAAAAAAAAAAAAATCATTTTGTCAAGATTTTTTTCCTCCTCATGTATATAGATAGATTGATTGTTGAAGTGATCTCGTTTAAACTTCATAGAGTTGTATGTTGTGTCTTTTATTATATTAATTCTAAATGAGACAAGACAGACAGACACTTATAATTTTAAATGAAGATGAAATAAAGTTCTTGTCACACTATGATTGGTTATTGGTGATGGAAGTATACGTTACAATTAAACAATATATTGTAAAACACCAACGAACAATGTGTACACTCTAATTTCATGGACATATTGGTGCTTGCTAATATATGAAGTAGTTCGTTAAACATCTCTTCATCTTAAATAAAATATAAAAAGGATTTAATTTTGGAACATGTTGAACGGAAGAGAAAGAGAGTAAAGTAGTTTAACAGCTAGATGAAGAGTATTCATAAACAGTTCTACTCAATTCTAAATTAAAGAAATAGAAGATAATTTCGAAAAAATGAATTTTAAACGAAGAATATGTTTGAGAGTTGTGTGTGTGTGTGTGTCATATTTTATGTTAGACATCACACTTGCAGAGTAAAGAAAATAATTAATAATTAAAAATGATACTTCTTTCATTTTGATTCGATGTAATTGTCAACAATGCAAATAAAAACAAAAGATTATCAGCGACCGTTGGCCTGTTTATAAGGCATGATCTTTTCTATTCATAGAGTGCTAGAGGCTCTGCATCGAATTTCAAATACAACAAAAGACGACAATGTCTCTTCTCTCGCTAATAATGATCAGTATCATTTTGTCATCATAATGAATACACGCGATATACATCTAGTATTTCTTGCGTGAGAAAAAAATACAAAAGCGAACTTCCTTTTTCTGGTATATCTATAGTTTTAACCGTTGTTAAATATACTGCGACATCATAAGTAAAATAAACGAGCAGTTAAATAACTAATTTTAGAGAAAGTCAATTACAGTTGCTCCAGGGAAAGCTTTTAGAATATACATGAGAGACAAAAACGTTCATTATTTCCTTGAGGTACATACACATACACACACACACAAAAAAAATTGTAATGTCCGGTAAAAAGCTTATATTACTTAGGAAAGATATAATCAAAGAAAAAGAAGAATCAAAATACTTTTTAATTAGGAAACAAAATAATTGAATACTTATCTTATATAATCATCTTAATTTAGATGCTGTTTTTACCGACATAAGAGTCGTTATTAAACACATAATGAGAGAATTTACTGAGTATTTTTCTTTATTTAGCTGTTCTCGTTTGTCAAACATATCAGCAAAAAAGGTATAATCGAAATCGTGATCAAATTGTTAATCAACCATCATCATTCGAATTAAATTCATCGGGTGAAGATGTTTTATCAATAGCTCATGAACAATCCGCAATGTTACCATGCAAAGCGATACTTCTTATACCGGAACCAGAACGGGTAATTTCTTTCTCAAATCATATATTTTTTACAATCTTCTGTTAGAATATTATTATTATTTTTTATAGGTTATGTGGTACAAATTAAATTCTGATCATTATCAAACAGCACCCACAACATTAACTGTTGGAAAACATTTAATAACAAAAGATTCAAGAATATCAGTATTTCATTATACTTTTGATCCAGTAATACCAGCACGATGGGATTTATATATTAGTAAAGTTAAACAAACAGATCAATCCTTATATCAATGTCATGTTATATTAAATTCAATATCATCAAGATCAAATGTACGATTAATTGTAGAAGGTATGAGAATGAAAGATTAGAAGTGATTATCTAATAATAGTGAATAATGAAACATTTACTTTATATGGTTGAATTATAAAGTCCATTAATATAAATTGACATTGTTTATGATATGAAAAGTACAAAGGAGAAATGAATAATTACTTATTGAGCATAGTATGAACATCACCTTCATAAAAGGAAATATAGAAAGAAATAGTTTATTCTTACAAGTAATAATCAAATCGATTAATTTATGGTACAAGTCTTTACATTTTTTGAATGTTTCAAGTGTAGATTAGTCAACAAATAGTCATTAATGAAACTTGTTATTTGTCGCCTTGGGATACTCGATATTTGAGAATAGATTTAGATAAATATACTTGAGTTTTATAAGTTCACATGCTCGTGAATATTTGCTCGCTATTGAAATTAAAGAAAATTTGTGCGCGACCGCACGTTTGATATTGCAAGACCATGGCATAGTGAAAATTTCAGCATGGATATCTGCAAATTTTGTAAATTACACTAAATGAGAATATCATGCAGAAACAATAATCGGTTATATATCTATTTTCAATAAGCAGCAATTTAATGAACTGAGCTCTTTCTACGAAAATACTGCACATTCTTCTTTTTTTAGACATTACGGTTAACATTCAACCGTCTGATGTTATCGTTGAAGCAGGTCAAAGTACTCAATTCAGTTGTAATTTTACCGGTAAAAAACGTGTTCGCCGCGAAACAGTAACATGGCTAAAAGGTAGTAAGCGTAGAGACGTAAAATAATATTTACTTTGTTTTTATTTTTTTTTTCGTATAGATGATCAACCTATTATCGTTAATCAAGGTCAAATTATTTCAACTTCAGAATATCCAAATGTAACAATAACCATTTTAAAAATATTTTCATCAAAACCATCTCATACTGGCAAATATCGATGTACAAATGGTCATATATTAGCAAAAGAAGCTAAATTATTTGTTAAAGATTCACAAACAAATCGTTTATTTCATTCTTTATCATCAGCAACATGCGTTCTTCAAACAAGAACAGTACAACAATTGTTTAACATGAATATTCTACTACTTATTTTACTTATTTTTTTATATTCTAAAATATAACTCTATAGTTTAGCAAATAAATGAGTGACATTCTAATCAGATGATGTAAACATAGACAGAGGACGGTCAAGTTTTTATTAGTCCATTTTTTTTCTTTTCAAAGATGTCTGATCAATTTAAAAAGAAAAAGAAGATAAAAATATAAGAAATGATTTCTATGACTGCATTATAACATTAAAAAAAAAAGAACAAGCATCATCTTCAATGCAAAATAGAGTTTATGGTTCAATATAAACATTAACGACGGGTTGAATAAACTTTTCTCAGTGTGATAGGTCTATTTCTTAATATTATGCAAGAATGATGAAACATTCTTTTTAACAACATAAGATTCTTTTAATTTTGATTTAATGGATAAGTTGACTCTATCACCCACATCTTTCTCGAAAAAAATTAAATTTTTTCTAACATAAAAATTGCTCGACTTTTTTTATAGTAAATAATTAAACAAAATTTAATTTTTAGAGATAGCTGAATCAAATACTGAATCATACACGATGTGTACTTTTTTTTTCTTATGTGAGTGTGTTATCATATCTCTTTTTTCTTATATGGTAAGTAATTTGTTTCTCTCTTCTATTCACCTATCTTTCTTATATACATGCACACTTTTCACAACTAAAATTTCAACGTTTTTCTCTCATGTCTACAAATACTTCCGCACAATTAACTAATCCCTATCCGTATGAGCCACCGGCCAATTTTTTAGAAATTGAAGTGCTCAATCCAGAAATACACGGTTTTGGTAGTAAACGTTATATTGATTATGAAATTCGAATGAAAACAAATTTACCAATATTTCGTTTAAAAGAATGTACTGTTCGACGACGTTATCGTGATTTTGAATGGTTAAGAAAAGAATTGGATCGTGATAGTAAAGTTGTGGTACCCGATTTACCAGAAAAAGCATGGACAAGACAATTGCCATTTCGTAAAGATGAAGGATTATTTCAAGAGGATTTTATTGAAGAAAGACGAAAAGGTTTGGAAAAATTTATAAACAAAATTAGCAGTCATCCATTGGCACAAAATGAACGGTCATTACATGTGTTTTTGCAAGAACCATCCATTGATCTTGATAAATACGTTCCAGGAAAAATGAAAACTGTTAATTAAAAAATTGGAAACTAAGAAAATGACACGAAAACATGGACTTTGTTCTATGCATCAAGAAAATATTACTATAGTCGGGTTGTTTTTCAGTAGATATTTCTTGTTAAATAAATAATTTCTTTGCTGAATCAGTCAAAAATTAGTATTGAATTATGGAATAAACAAGGAAGGTTTTGATCCAAGGGGAACATAGCACCGTTTCTAGAATGTGTCCATTTTGAAATAGGGAATAGCATAATCCATTGTGCCATTCTCACATTCCAGAATATCAAATTTCTAATACTCTTTTTCGCTTACTTCTTGCGTAATACAACAGGAAAACGAGTGTACTTAAAAAGAGAAACTCGTGTCAATCGTATAACTGAAGATTATACCTCTCTCTTGTTCAAAAATATTTCGAGTTTGATAAAGTATAAGAGAACATAAAGTGTCTTGAATAGACTAGCATATTTATCAAAGCTCCTTGGATTTCCATTGTAAAGAAATATAAAACTTTACATTTTTCATTATAAATACAAAAAAAACATCAAATTTCATACTAAACCTTTATTTTTGACATAGACGATAATCACGTAGAGTAAAATGTTCTTTACAAAATGAGATGTATACCAGGCCAAATGACCCTTTCCTATGAAATTGTACTGTTTTTCATTTGTAGGTATTTTTTCGTTGGAGGGCTGAGATTATTCTGACAATATGAAAGGCTAAAGAGAAAAGAATTACAAAAAGTCTTTAGCACTCGGCATACTAACCCTCAGTTTCAGGATGCCGTTCCAAAAATTGAATATTTATTTCAGAATGTGTAGTTTCTGATCTAATGCAACAGCACGGAGACTCTATCATAATTTCACGGACACTTTATGTCTAGTGTTACATTTTTTTAGTAAATAAAGGACATAGAAAACATCTTTTTACTGTATCAAATGCAGTAAAAATGACAGAAGAAAATACACATCTTCCTCTGGCTTACGATCATAAGCAAGCCTTAATCATTTAGCGTTTGTAAAACCTAATATAAAATACTTCAAATTTCGATCTGTATTACAATCAATAAAAAAATCAGCACATTCCATTATCACCTATATAAATTAATCGAGTATAAAGTATACAAAAACAAAAAAATCTATTTCAACTCTTTAAAGTCTCCTTTGTTCGATGAACAATTTCAGAACTTCGTCCGCTGCTAATCCGGGCGTCATGCGTCCATTTTCAACATCGTTTTCATAGTGTTTAATATGTGTCTGTATATCGTTATCATTAAGAAAATAATCCAGCATATAATTTCTTATATTTGACCACATCCATTTTTTTAATTGCTAAAAATTAAAAACAAAACCAAATAATAGAATAACTAGAATAACTGTTATCTTTAACTTACATGTTTTCTTTTCAAAAAAAACTGATTTGATTCTAACATTTTATTTTGATAATTTAACATATTTATCCATGCTTTATCAATGCCAATGTTGGTTCTTGATGATACGGATATTACCTGTTAATTCGAGATTAAATTAATGACAATAATACACAGTAGAAAACTATTCTCATCTTACTTTTGGTGTCCAATTATGAAAACGTCTTCTCATTAATCTCATTGCGCTTGAATATTCTGTTTGTAGTCGACGTACTTCTGGCAGTAATTCACCATCCGCTTTTGTAATTATCATTAAATCGACAAGTTCCATGATGCCTTTTTTAATTCCTTGCATTTCATCACCCGAACCAGGTGGTAGTAAAACACACAACATATCTACCATGTCAGCGACAGCATACTCCGATTGACCAACACCTTCAAATAGACAAAAGTACCCGTAATATAGTACTCTCACTGTATCATCTATCGTATTACCAACAGTTTCAACAAGCACAATATCATATCCAGCCAATTCACATAAAGCAATAGAATCGTTTGTCGTTCGTGTAACGCCACCTAACGAGCCAGATGAAGGAGAGGATCGAATATAAGCCTGACGTTCTCGTGACAATTCAACCATGCGAGTTTTATCGCCGAGAATTGAACCTAAACATTTAGAAATAATACTTAAACTAAAAAAAAGATTTTTAATGTTGCAGATTGATTTTGAGTATAAAATTGGTACATAGGAAAGCAAACGATGAAAACTACTAAACGACAAATACTCAATGGTATAGTAGTTGTTGGTCAAAATTGAGAGGGACTAAAGACTTTTAGTTTGACAACAAACACTTTCATTAGATTCGGATTCAAACAGGCTCGTTCATCTCTATTGATTGTATATACCTCCTGTGGTAGTTGACGATGGATCGACAGTTAACACGGCTACTTTATGACCCTTTTCAATCAAATATCTTCCAAATACTTCGATAAATGTCGATTTACCTAAAGTGAACGAAAGGTTAATCATTCCTTGCTTTTAGAATTTGATAGAGAACCCCTAATTATGCAAAAACTATCCTTTTTTGTATTATTCATGTCAGAAAAAATCTCCCAATGTCTATCCTTTTCTTTATCAATAAGAAACTTTAACTAATCTTCCAGTGGTGAGGAGAACAATTTTTTCTCAAATAGTCTCGAACCAGAAATGAACGCTGTTGACAAATCCATGATAAATACCGGATCCAGGCGCACCAGTCAATCCTGAAAAAAAATAATATTATGTATACTCGTTAAAAGTTTTAAAAATTATGATGATGAAGTTACCTATTCTAAAACTAATTGGTTGCCCTTGCTTTTTTTCTTGTTTTTGTTTTAAACCACTTAATACTTTTGTTAGTAATTCTTTAGCATGTTTTCGTTTTATTTCATTTGTCGACTCTATTAACGTTATACTTTTAGCTAAACAACTTCTATCACCGTTCATCGTGCCATTATAAAGATGGTCGACGATGTTCTCGTTTGTCAATTGTCTTTTCACATGCTGGTAACAACAACGAACAACTAACGTTAATAACGAATTTCGAAGCAACATAACATTAATCTAAAACATTGAGACTAGAAAATATATTTCGAACTAATTTGCCTAGTGTGTTTATCTATTAGATAAATATCTAGCAACATTTTTTATTAGCTGTATAAAAATGAGTTTTTTTGCAAGCTTTAGTGTTACAATTAACAAAATGATTCGTGAATACATTTTTCTTTGATTCACATTTATATTTGAAAAGAAACTACCGTAAAAAATATGTATCATTAAGTACTGAGACAAGAGCATGCAAACAATAAAATGAAACTACCATTCTCAATAAATTTCTCCCTGTAAAGAAAAAAAGAGAAACAATTAAGTCACTTAATTACGTGTGAGTTACATAGATGAAGAACGTACCTTTCTCCCACGAAATCTTGCACGCATATCAATCTAAACCACAAAAAATAGATCGTTGGCATTTCAATTACAAAAAATTTAGTACAAATATATACCATTGAACGTTTGCATTCAAAAAATGTATAGGCTAATCGTCGACATTCATCGTCAACATGATCGCGCATTGATTCATCTTGAAGGCATTGTTTTGGTGTTTTGCCATACTAGAAAAATGAAACATTTGAGTCGTATGAAAACATCCAATTAATTGAAGGATGATAACAAACCTTTTTGCAACAATCACTTTCTAATAGACACATTTTTAAATCGTAACGTAACAAATCACATGCATGATGTGGTTTTTTCGCATTTTCTTCAAGATCATAATCAACCAAATATTCCTTAAGATAAAGCACAAAAGTATTTATCGATCTTTCACTGATGACTCTACCGGTTCTCCTCATGTGAATCATGAACTCTTTACATTTACAATTTCTCACAGTTAAAAGTATCTTAAGCCTTGAAAATTAGTTTAATACTCTGTCAGAAATAGTTTTTGAGAAAAAGAGATTGATTATAGTTCAAAATATGGCATGGCATGGATATGAGCGATTTGTTTACTAATAATAAAGTAACATATAAGGAAAAACTAGAGTAGAACGTACAAAAGCTAAAACTATTGAAAGAAATCAGACTTTATTGTAGGAATATCATGAAAATGACTAGCTGTTTGATGCTCTGATGATTTTGAATCGTTACGATTACTAACAAACGTCTAGAATAATTTGAACAACATCGATGCAATAGATAATAAACATCAACAATAATAACGTGATCAATTGGAACACTCCTTGTTAAACAAAAACACTTGTCAAGTGTAAGCCCTAGTAGTGACCAGCAGTAAGAAGCATAAGACCGTCAAAAATAGATGCCGGAGAAACAGCTGCGTGATCACGCTAGAAATTTTTTCTGATTGAGATTTACCACGAGATAAAACTCCAATAGGTTTTGCGTCCAGTGCACATTGATTTCTGTAGTGAGATAATTGCATGAAAATTATTAAGTACATCATTAGTCATTGATATAGCTATGTAACTAGCAACGGTTAGTAGGCGAATAATCCGGAGGATACAATACAAGGACAAGCTTTTGCATTTTTAAAATATGTCAGACAAACCGGCATCAGGTGTTTATCCTCCATCAATAATAATAGTATAAGAATCAAATATGTCGTTTACAGTATGAATTAATAATCTTTTTGGTTAAATTTGTTAATAATTCTGATTCTTTTGACTGTTGAAGAGCTGTTTGGTTGAACTGCCACGATGTAAGGTCAATGAAGTATTGCTAACCCTTACTAGTGTTATCATTACCATTACATTCAATATTAACTTGATATCGAAAAGGCAATTGAAAGTAGTCAATTTAAGTCAGATTGATGTCAATCAGTTAATTATACTTTCCTCATTAAAATTCGTGAGAACTTTCTTTTACTCCAAGACGAAGATCTCTGTCCGATAATAAAGTAGATGGTAAAAACTATACCCCTACCGGTTTCACTTTACTAGAAGACATTGCCAATAATCTATCAAATAATGTATCTACAAATAATTATTATTCAGTTTAATAAACGAAAAGAAAAACGAAATCATGCATCTAATTTCTATTCTGAAGTATCGTGAAGATGTATGATATATTCATTTCTCGAATAAAAACAAGATTCAGTTCAAAAGCGTAAAATTACTCGTTATCACACTATCATGCTCGATGAAACTGTGACACCTTAAATACCAAGAAGAAAATGAGTTGAAAATGGTAAGATCTTGATTTTCTTCGAAATGTATGAACCATGATTTCTGATATGAAACTCGTCAATCTCCAGATGCAAGATTCCTTCGAAAGACAATTCAGACAGTGAACGTTAAAGTTCGATTCCTTTAACAATCAGAGAGATATTGAATACGATAACAAAATAAAAAACTACAGTGGTAATGTTTTTGCACAAAACGATAAAAATCACGACATTTTGAACAAAAAGAAAAAGTATGAAAAAACACCATACACTATTTGTTGAGTATCAGTTATCATCGATATAAAGTTGGTTTTAGTGTCATATTATACTTTGTTTATGACGAACAACATTTAACGCCATCATCAAAACTGCCTTATACTGTTTGTTATAGTCTGAAATGACATAGCAAATCAGTAGGATATCTACTGAGAAACATAACAGATATATATGCAAAAATGAGTCTGGAAAGAGAAATCAAGAAACTTTTCAGAAAATCATATAGTGTGTTCATGACCAGTACCCCTTCTACACAGAAACATGTTCCACAACTTCAGTCTTTTTCTCCTAACAATCTTGGTAGTTGGAATTCCCATCCTTTAATGTCTTTGTTAAAAAATATACAGTGTGGCAGCAGAAGACTGAGAAAAGTAAGTTCTGCTAAGCCATTACTTTCTATCCAAACGAGTGATCAAAACGATGAGGCTGCTTGCATTTCCATAGAACGACTCCAAGATAAATGGTCTGTTTTGATCTTTTTATTCACATTAAATAACAAAGAAAAATAACAGTTAATTTAATAGGAAAAGACCGATATCATTGTAAACATTTAGCAGAAGAGAATCGAGTGATTGAGTTGAACTCGACCCTTCTGTCATTATACTACTACTATTCTCTTCATGTTCCATTTGATTATTTGTTTCTGTCTGCTCAATAGATGGTGTATCAGTTAATATTTCTAATAACTGTTTCATTTCATTATGTATTGTTTCACTTCCATTTAACATTTTTTTCGATCTTAGATGACGTCCATCAAAACCGCTCAATAAATTTTTAATATCATGACGACGATGTCCTTTCATCGGATAACATTTCAATCGCTTATTACTATCTCTAAATGTATGCATATTCAATAAATGACGATCGAGTGATGATTGATAAGTAAATGTTGTTGAACAAGATACAACTGGACAAATAAGGCGAACATTTTCATGTTGAGCTCTAAAAAGGAAATAAACAAACAAGTGAAAAATAAAAAAAAGTTAAATGATATGCAAATGTTTCTTTTTCAAATACGATGGTAGAGATATTGGTTTATCATACTAAACACACACGAAGCTCGATTTTATTCAAGTTGCAATCATAAAATTTACTAATAATTTTTTGTCTCAAACTTACTTGTAATGTTGTCGAAGATTTCTCAGATAAGCGAATCTCTTTCCACAGCTTTCTTCTTTGCAAACATAGTAATCATTATGTATTTTACTGTTCTTATGTTGATTTAAATATGTTAAACATTGAAATGTTTGATCACATAGATCACATTTGTAAGCTGCAATGAATAAATGGAGCAAATATATCACTGCATCTTTATTTTCAAATAAAAAACAAGAGGAATAATCGATTTGTCGACATGTAGAAAATTAACGAATGATCTTGCAAAAAATATCGTTTGAGATGTAGTCCCTCAGAATATCTATCTACCCCTCCGGTAATTGAAATATAGATAAACTGCTGTAGACACGTGTTTGGTAAACGTCATCGTTTTTCTTCACAACGAAAAAAATTCGTGTAATAAAAAAAATGTGTACTTCAAGGAAATACAACAGTACGCTTTAGATTAAGCTCACATTTGTCACGAGAAAACATTTTTCACTTACCTTTGAGTTTGTCAACATGTTTTTCTACACGTGACAATAAATTTTCTAATGTGCGTTGTACAATACGTTCGTCAACTAATAAAATAAAAACACATTATAACAAGAAACTAGGTTGAGCGAGAAGCGAGGAAGGACACACGACGCCACACTTGGTCTTCGAAGGTGGTCCCCCATCCTTGTACTAACCAAGACAGAGTCGATTGATCGTAGGAAGAATAGTAGGGTGCCTGAAAATAAGCAGAAAAGCATCAACACAGTTTTTAACAAATCGAAGAAGTTGATAGAGACACAAATGCACAAAATGTGTTCAACGGTTTATGCGATTATTCTCCGAGCGACGAAATGTGTATGTTATTTTTTTACTTACCATTGTGAGCTTTTCGATGATGAGACAACTGTTTAATTGTTGAAAACATTTTTGGACAATCTATGCATCTAAAGAAATATATGACAATTTATATGAAGCAATTGCTGTTTTCCTCATACTTGTAATTTCCAGGTGTGCAACTGTGACTATCGATCAAATGTGAATGAAAAACTTTGATCCCAATCACTTTTGCTTCACAATATGGACACTAAAGCAAAATATGAACGGTGAAGTTGCATAATACAAATATAGTAATGATTAATCTTACTTTTATTTTATTTTCATTGAATGTATGAGACTTTCTTACATGTCGATCGAGATTTTGTTTATTGGCAAAAATTTTTAAACAATTATCAATGGAACAATGAAAGCTATAAAAAGACACGTATTTAGCTGTACGATCATTCATTTTTGCTCTAGAGAACTGCTTTATTGTTCAAATAACACAAATCACTATTGTGTGAACCTTTATACAATATATCAGCTATGAATAACTTTTTTCCTATTCAACAAGAAGTTTGCTAGTAATCATAGATGCTTACGTTGACAAATTTTCTTTTTCTGTTCGTTTTGATGATACATGAACTTTTTGATAGTGGCGATTGGCATGATCTTTACTCGAATATGGTTTGCCACAAATACTACATTCATATGGATACTGAAATAGAGAATAAAACTTAAATATAATCATAGATAATTGTATACAACCTAGTCTTTTACTTTATTTCTGTGTGAAAAGTCGATATGCTGGTGTAATTTGTTTGGTCTTGCAAAAGCTTTGTCACACATGGTACATTTATGAACTTTATTCGCTTTTGACGATGCGACAGTCACCGTACTCGAACCTGCCATCTAAAATATACAAAAAAGATGGATATAACAAACATTCTCCCAGAGATAAATCTAATGCAATCAGGAAGAGTTATCTCTGAAAATCCTAGCCATCACATAGCATCCAGTCTAGAGTTGCCAGATGGTCCGCATTTTGTGGACAAATTTCGGATTTTTGAGTTTTTTCCCGCCATTTATCCTCTGTCTGCTATTTGTCTGCATTTTAAACATTTTCTGCTTTTGCTGTTTTTACCCTGAGTTAAAAATAATTCGTTTTAACTCATGTACTATATCATGTACTAAAATTTATAATTATTTCTTATCAACGCTAGAATTGCTTAAACTTATTCATTCTAGTCCAAAAACAACGTATCAATTAAAATCGAAATTTACATTTATGTTTGCTGTTCTCTTGTGTTTTATTGAGTAAAACCACAAAGTGCTAGAGAAAACATTTTTTTGACTCTGTGTGTGAGAAAGGATGAAATTAGACCATGAAAATGCGTTTCCGCATTCGGACAAAATTTTCCGCATTTTGGAACTTTTATTCCGTATTTCTAACTTGAGGATCTAGCAGCTCTGATCTAGTCGTACGTGTTCTACATAAAATGGGCCATTTTTAATGACAGCATCATCATTTAGGAGGGAAGGACGAAAAAACTGATTTGTGTTCTTATATTGGCATTCTGCGCCGACAGAGCTAAAGACATCTACTGCACCCATCATTTTAGTTCATTTATCTGTAGAATTATTTGTTGTCAGACGAGTCCAGTTGTTTTTAAAACTCTTGATGTGTATTCAGTCTATGCCTGACAAAGAATTTCGATGAGCGTGCATCACTAGTGACATCTAATATTTTATCCTCGTTGAAAAAGAAGAGTGCGACATGAATAATGGTTGTAAAAAATTGAGAAAAAAATTATAACTGGTTACGGCTGAATGATTTTACCTGTTTCATTTTAAATCTATTCTGTTTGCACGAAAGTTGTTAATAGTTAGTTACAACAACTTGAAAGTTACAGATTTGCTTTCTTTTCTGAGAAGAGCCTACTGTTTAAGTAGTTCTACTAGTAAAGTAACGACGTAAAAGTGGTTTTCGTTTCTGTAGAGTAACAGAGAAAAAATTCATCTTGTTTCTTTGTCGTCTAGAATTGACGTCCAAAACATACCATTTCGTTTATTTTCAGACAATAATGGTACTCGTTGAGGATGTCACAAGTCAAAATAACAATACGGCAAGTAATGATCAGTCAGGACGACCGTCAAACCCATCTTCACCGCCACCAACTTCTTCTGGCTCAACAAACAACATCATCAATGTATTGATGGAACGTAAAATCGATATTGTTCTTTTATTATCACGTTTAGCCACCATATTTTTTACGATCTTCTATGCTCTACCAATAAGTCCTGGTGGTTCAAGTACCAATGTATATTATCAAAAAGCATTAATGAGTTCAGCAGTCACATCAGCATTACGTTTACGCCAGCGTACACCGTACTTTCAATTTTCACGTGATTTTTTTTTCAGTTTACTCCGAGAAGATTCTGCTCATTATCTAATGTATTCATTATTATTTCTTTCTGGTAGTCCAATGACAATTGTTCTAATACCAATATCATGTTATGCTCTTCTACATTCATGTTCATTTATATTAAATATTTTAACACAGTATCCACGAGTTACACGTCTACTATCAAAAGTAACGGAAAAACATGTTACACTATTACGCTTTGTGGCTTTAAATGAAATTTTGTTGATGCCAATTTTGCTTTTATCAATCTTTGTTGCACGTGCTAATTTTTTGCTTATATTCATGTATTCTCGTTTCTTAACGTTAAGATATTCATCACAACGTAATCCGTATACAAGACAAATCTTTACCGAATTAAGAATCACTACCGAGCAACTTATTCATAAACCACAATGTCCACAAATCGTTCGACGTCTATGTGAGAGTGTAATTGGTTTTGTATCAAGACTGGCACCTGCTGCAAGATAAATAGATCTAAAAGAAACATGAGCTGTATCTAACTTTGATTTCATATTTATTGTGGTTCTTGTACCGTTCTCCATTGTCATAGTCCTATAAAATCATAGATGTTTATCGGACATATTCTATTGAAATAAACTTTGTCGTTCATTTTCATGTTCAAATCCTTCATTAGTTGAAGAAGAAAAATTTGTTGTTACATTATTCTGCTTTTGTTTTTGTGCACAAATCTCAAACTTTGTTAGTGTAAAATAATTAGTTTTTCTCAGTCAAACGTGTTTAGTCAAATTAAGGCTAATTGTTTTTTGCTGCAGTTCATAAGACTCTGATTCATATAATTCAATTGCTAGTGTTGTTTTACGTTTTTATGTATTATTGCTTTTGTGTTGTTTATGCAAATTTCTCTACATATTTAAGTTCGTAACAAAAACATAAAGAAAATAATTTATTCTTTTCCTTTAAACAATAACCTTTAAACAGTGAACAACCGTAGTGAGAAAATGGTGAAGCGTTCTTGATACATGCATTTTCTCTCTGATGCAGTTTCTTAGGAACTTATGAAATCGTTATCTTTCATCTACAGTTTAGAACTTTCAGCAACTAATAAGATACAGAACGTAGTAATAATAAATATATTCTAAAAAAAATGAATACAACAATAGTTATCTATCATTTCTTGTTTATTCGCTAGATGAATTTATATATTTTTTACATCAAATGCGTGATAATAACTGTCGTTTATGTTCGGATAAATCATTGACATATTTTTGTGTTGTTGTTGAATGGCCAGAGCATTATCTGTAACTGATGATGATTCAACTAGTGAACAAATAATTGATATGGTTCGACTTAATTTACAAACAACACCGGTAACTAATCAAACTAATTTAACAACAGAATATGATCAAACAGATGATCAACAACAAACAATCATTAATGATTTTCTATTACCGATGAATATGGGTAAGATGATTTATTTCAATAACGTTTTTTGGATTTTGTATATTTCTTTTATTTCAGGTTTAATATATGATCCAAATAATGAATCTGAGCAACCAAATTTAAGTACTTTTAGAAAGGTATATTATGATATATTAGACTAGATTTTAAAATTCTGTTCTGCTCTTTTTGCTTGAATTAGATGGAATATTTACTGGAAAAAATGCAAGATGAAAATAATGGTTTACCAATTAAATCTGTTAAAAGTTTTATGTCAAAAATCCCCTCAGTGTTTACCGGTATTGTATTTAATTTATACAAAAAATTTTTACGTAACACTATTAGATCGTTTTTTTCTCTTTATTTTAGGTGCAGATTTAATCCAGTGGATATTGAAGAATCTTGATGTAGATGATACGAGTGAGTGAATTAATATTATGGAACAAAACAACGAATTTATTTTGAGTTTTATTTTTGTGTGTGTTTTAGTTGATTCACTTCATTTAGCGAATTTGATGTCGTCACATGGCTATGTAAGAATAATTACATTTTAAACTAGTCATCGTTGAAAGGTAGAAATTTTTTTTCTTCTATACAAGGTTCTTCCAATTGATGATCATGTATTAACTGTAAAAAACGACGGCACATTTTATCGTTTTCAAGTATGAACTATATCACTAAATTATAACTTTTAAGTGTACAATTTTTTTTTATATCTATAGACTCCTTATTTTTGGCCATCGAATCATATTGAACCAGACAATATCGATTATGGTAAGTAGTTACCAGTGAACTGAACTGAATAGTTATGTTTTGTATGATATTATTGCATATGTTTCAGTTTATTGTGAGAGGTATGCTACTGTTGCTACTACTACTGCTAACTGCTGCTCTAGTTACTAATTAATTCTACTAACATTAGCTCTTAATGTAGATATAATTATATAGCTTAACAAAAACTTTTTCTTTTAGCTGTATATCTTTGTAAAAGAACTATGCAAAATAAAACACGATTAGAACTAGCAGATTATGAAGCTGAAAATTTGGCACGTCTACAAAAATTATTTGCAAGAAAATGGGAACTCATTTATATGCAAGCAGAAGCACAAATAAAGTATATCATACGGGATTATTAGTTGAGAAATATCTTTATTCAGACATTGTCAAGATGATCACTTATTAGTCAATTAAGGATTAATCCTAGTTTCTTGGTTTTGTTTAGAGTTGATAAAAAACGGGATAAAGTTGAACGTAACGTGTTGGATAGTCAAGAACGAGCATTCTGGGATGTTTATCGTCCAGCACCTGGTTGTGTTAACATGACAGATCAAGATATCAAAAAATTAATGAGACGTAAAACGAGCAGTATTTGTCTTCATAGTAGTTCACACTCATTATCGAGTAATCGGCGTACATCATCTACATCCGCTACAGCACCTGCCTCAGCGCTAGCAGCAGCTGCCAATCGAAATTTAATAACATTAACAGGTAAGTACTATATAGAAAAAACCTTCAAAAATAAAAACTACAGTCAGATAAAAATATACTATAAATTATTTAAATACAAAATAAAAAACAATTAGATATAATAAAACCAAATTTATCATTATTTAAATATTCTCTGTTCTATACTCACACAAAAAAACTTTTTTATGTTTTCTTTCTTTAGCTAGTCTCTTCTCTTCGGTATCGCCTTCATCTGCTGTCGTACGACCTACACAACCTCCACCACCAGCTTTACATGAATGTGATGAAACACAAGAAATTGATAATTTAGTTCATGAAATTGAATTTTTAAAACATCGTATTGAACGTCGATGTTTAAAAACATCAAAAGTATGCGAAAATTATATAAATTATTATGAACAATATACAGAATTTGATCCATTTATGACTCAATCTGAACCAAGTAATCCATGGATATCTGATTCTGTTGATCTATGGGAAATGGAAAAATTTGGTTCACGTGAAATATCATCGAGACGAGTGAAACGTTGGGGATTTTCTATAATGGAGCTATTAAAAGATCCAGTGGGACGTGATCATTTTTGGAAATTTTTAGACAAAGAATATAGTAGTGAAAATTTAAGATTTTATGAAGCATGTATCCAGTTAAGATTTCATATACCACAAAAAGATGTGGCAAATAAAGTAAAAGAAATTTATAACGAATTTTTATCACCAGGTAGGTGACCTTGTGAAAATAATTATAGATAATCATTCGCTTGTTATACATATATATATATATATTAAGGTGCTTATTATTCAATTAATATCGATCAAAGAATAATGAATATAACCAAAAAGAATATAAATAATTATCCGAACAGATATACATATGATGAAGCTCAGGTTAGATTTGATTAGCGTTCAATTATTCTTTAAAAATATTTTATGATATATAAATTTAGGAGCATATTTTTAATTTGATGACGCGTGATACTTATAATCGATTTCTTCGTTCGGAACTTTACAGAGAACTACTTATTGGTGGTAAAAAGAAGGTAAGTAAGATTAAGAATAGTCTATAAATCACAAATTGTGTGAGCATGTGTGAAATATTACTCTTATATGCGTGTATTGATGATGCACAATCACATATGGTCTCATATCACGTCATCATCAATAACATCAACAAAGTCATAGTGTGTGTGTGTTTAACTTTTCTTTCTAGCTGTCAAAAAAATATTGAGAGAGCAGTAATTAAACATTTGTTTTTTTTTTACAATTCTTGTGGGTGTGTTTGTTTTTTTTTTCCAATTTATTATTATTATTTTCTTTTGCATTCAAATATTTCATCTATAATCATCTATTTCTTCTAATCTGCCTATGTTAATATTTCTAATTTTTCTTTTTACATCTCCAGTTTGTTGTTTGCTTTTCCCTCATTTATAAGCACATACATAGCACATAATCAATAATAAGCTTTACCGTTTCGAACTGTGTGCAAGTAAACAACACTCTACTTCACTTCAGTTATGAAACGTATCTCTTGCAAATATGGCTTAGAAGACTGACGGCTTATCCAAATATCTATATCAGTTATTGAATTTGATACTCTCTATTGATTTATTTTAACAATTATACACAGTGTTAATGCTACAACGCTTAAGTTTTTAAGCGTCTGTGCTTTATTCTTCACATTCATTTCTTTTTAATTGCCTTCACTTGCACTCACTCTTTATTTATTATTTTGCACAAAATATTTATTATTTTATACGAAATGTACACCTACACATTGCAAGATACATAATGCATTATGGTTGCTTATTCTATTATTTTTTTGCTATAAAATTTTTATTTCTTTTCATTATAACTCGACTTATTTTTCTTTTTTTTCATCTAGTATGGTCTCAAAACTGGACGTCTATCAATTGTTCGACCATTAGAAAATTTAACAAAATTTTCAACGACATCACAACCGCAATAATTCGAAAAAATAAAAATGATAAATCAAAAAAACAATACGATATTTTTGACATAACTTTTTTTTTTCTTATATTAGATGAATCTAGTCAAATGGGTATTATTTTCATGTGTGCATTTTTGCTTGTATGTACCTTTCTTTTTGTATTTTATTGTGTATTTTCACAAAATAAATCTCTTTTATACGTCTAAACCTATCTATGCTATGAATTGATAATTAAAATAGAAGATATGAATATTTAAATAAATTGAAATATGAATAAAAAATTTTTAACTTACTAAATGATTTATTTAAAAAACAACAAAAGAAACATCAAACTAATAGACTAGTAGGTACAATCAATGTATGAAGATGATGGATCGTCACAAATATTTCCTCCATCATCTAATAATTGTGCATTCGAAAATCTATCTCGATTATCTGTTAAAAATTGTGCAAATTTTCTTCTTAATTGTGTTTTCCATGTATATTTAAAATTTTCATCACTCATGCCATATCGAACACGAGCAGCATCTAATTAAATTAACAACAACAATGTCTAATTACTACATATTACTTTTAAAACAAAAAAATTAACTTACAAAGCATAAGACGTAATTTATTTTCATTCAAGGGTACAAATTGATTTGTGCCACGATAATCGGGTAAACAGCCAATTCTTAATTCTTCATATGTAAAAATTTTTCTAGCTGCTTGTGATAAAAATGAACTTGGACTAGCCGCTTTTAATAATAATAAATTAAAACCAGTTTCTGTTAAAACAGCATTCGGAAATTCTTCAACTGTTGATAAGTTAATTTCACCATCATTTTCTTCCTCAATAAATTCTTCCTAAATAAAATAAAACACATTATTACATTTAAAGTTTATTAAGAAGATAGATGAAGACGAAAAAAATGTTCACAATTTACTTCTTGTTCTTTTTCATCTTCGTCGGCTATGATGGTCTGACATGTTTCTAAATCATTATTAAGATTTATTTGATTTCGAATTAATATTTCTAATATTGTATTTAATTTTTTTTCTAAATTTTCAACTTTTTCTACAAGAGAAGAATGTAAATACTATTTAGACTTGATAGAAAAAAAAAAGGTAAAACTTACTTGCACAAGCACATTGACATTGAGTTTCACTTTGATGTCGCTCATTAACTCCTAAAGTAGGAAAATTAATAGACTAATGAAAGAAATTATTTAATTCACAGTTTTTTACCTCGTAAAATACTCTTAGAAGAATGAATTGATAAATGATTACTACTCAATCGTTGTTGTTTAATTGAAAATCGATTTCTTGATTCTATAATGTGTAGATTAATTTTTTATTATAAGATATACACATAGTTTTATTTAACTTACGAGTATGTTCATTAAAATCGTCATTATTGTCATTTACTTCTTGTTTTATTTTCTTTCGAAACATCTCTTTTGCGTCTTGCTGTATACGCTTGCAAGTGCATGCATAGTGTAATATTTATTTTCTGCTTTTTTTTTATGTATGATGAGTCTCTCTATACTTTGCCGTTATTAAATGGGAGTCAGATTTCTCTTTTTTTTTCTTCTTTTCTTTTCTATAGTTTTCTTGCACTTTTTAAGGCATATTCATAGATCTACACATCATTCTCTTGTGGGCCTGTTAGTGCAATACTTTATGCAAGAACAAGAAGAGAAAAAAAGAAATATACTATTTATTTGTGCAAATAAGGAAGATGGAACAAAAACGTCGAGCATTTCTTTAACATGTAGAAAATACTGTTCTTCAAGGAAAGTGCAACGCGCAATCTTCCTGTGATATACTTGACCTTTTCTATCTACAATGACTAAGAGAACATTATTTTGAACATTACAGAACTAATTCTGAAATATACTCGATGCTATTTAGCTAAAAATAAAATAAAATAAAAGTATTTTCTATCAAAAATTATGAAATTAGTAACAATTATGTTTTAGAAAGAAGTTATTTAGTTTATTCTTTAATTTTGACAAGTATTATTGCGTCATAATAAAGCTTTCTCTAATAATTTTTTATTTATGATAGAAATGAACATTTTGTAGTTGAGAGATAGCAAGAGTATCGAAAGAAAGATAATAAATTTATTAAGATGATCGATAATATGACATTAGCTTAGATGTACACATCAGAGATGGAACCAATTCGGTTTGAACAGAGGAATTATTTCAAAAATATACAAAATTTTATTTTTATTATTTTTTTATAAACTCACTCTCTAATGTATAATGTTAGATTTGTTTATAAAACAAAACAAAAAATTTGAACGTTGAAACTATAAAAACACGAATTGGTCTCACCTCTGATATATATTTCAAATGAAATTAACAATAGAGTTATCGATCGTGTCAAATTAAAGATCAATGTCAAACATTTTTTACCAATTAAAAAATGAGGAGGACAGCTAAAAATTGAATTTAAAACAATACTAAATAGCTCTGATTCATTTAGATTTGGAGGAGAGATGATATAACAAGACGGAATTGGTAGCTACAAAATTTTGTTAGTTTTGAATCTCGATTCTTTAAATCTATTTAGTGTTAGCGACCAACTAAATTGATAATTATATAATGACTACTGTTTTTTTTTTGCTAAGTAGTTTTTATTAAATGCTAACTTAATTCCTACTTTAGTAAGCTATATTTTTGTGTAACTGGGAGTGGTGAAGGGGACAGGAGTGGCTGAAGCGCATGAGAGTGAGCCACTAAACCACATTTCTGTTTGTTTCTCAAAAGATATAATTATTTTTAATAAATTATTTAGGAAAAAAATAATTTAGCATTTAATAAAAACTATTTAGCATGTAAATGGGAGCCATTATTAATTACTAGATATTCATGGAAACGATGAATAGATTGGTGTAGAAACTGAAATTCAGTGGAATTTCAATCTCTGATAGTGCAGATTAAAATGTAAATACTTGCATACGCAATTGAACATGCATTTCTATTAATTAATGCTTTGTGGAATTAGTTGAAAAAATATGAGAAGAAGATTATAGCATTTAGAAGTTATTTCTAAACATGAGAATTAGTAAATAAAGCAACCTACGAAGAGTAATGGTGTTAGCGATTGATGAAACGGTCATCATATAAGACTCTCTAGTAAAGTTGATTATTCATTCATTCTCACGTTTAGAAATGACTTCTAAATGCTATAATCTTTTTTTTTCATACTTTGTAAACTGGAATTTTCTTCACAAAGCTGTAATTAAATAAAAATGCATATTTTATCACGTATGAAAGTATCTACATTTTCATCTGCACTAGTAGAGATTGACATTTTAATTTTCACTGATGAATCACTATAACAAATATATTATCATTGTACAATCATTTCATTGATACAAGACTGTTTAGATCAATGATCTGAAAAATAAAACTTTAGTTTTTACTATTAATAGAAACTAAAAGTGTATGATATTCGAAAAAACAATATTTTTTACTCAAAAATATATTTATTCTGTTATCGATTTTAAATAGTCGAGTACAATGGGTAAGTGTATATTAAAGATATTGTCTAACTATCAATGATTATATAACTGATACGACTTGTTTTAATAATCATGTGATTATGCGACGCTCATCATCGAGTGATAATATTTCAATAATGTACATTCGCACACACTTACAACGAATATCAAAGTTCTTGTCACACTTCTATTCTGTATATTCATCATGTCTAAATGGAATGATTATAACACTTCATAATTACATTTGATTAACCAAATTATTTCTGCTCATTATCGTGCGTAATTACTTACTTACTTCGAACCGGAATAAAGAAAACTATATGACTATTAGATTTTTCTATTATTTAATATGAAATCTATTTGTTATTATTACTTTATATTCAGAGAGTGAACATTACATCTATTGGTATTAAAAGTGAATCTCTATCAATTATTTTAATGATTCAATTTCTACTCTTTTTTACTTTTTAATAAATAAAATATTCTCAAAAACCAAAATTTTATTTCATAATTTTACTTATTCGAATAATATTTTTCATTTTGTTAGAAACTGATGAGAAAACACTGTCGTTATTGTTCTAGCACACGTATGATTAAACTAAATATTCTCACCCACCTATCTCGAATGGCTCGTGTTTAACACTAAGTTGCTAATAGATTGTTCAACTGTATATAATCAACGAACAAAAAAAGAAAAGAAAAGAAAAGAAAAGAGAAAATATAAAATTATATAATAGACTTCTATTTCTATTTCTATCTTTATCATATCACTAAACTTGACGATTGAGAAGTGGTTCATCTTGAAATTAAACTTATTAACTAAAATTCATTGCACTTCAAAAATATTAAAAAAAATGTCACGAAATACGACGTTTAAACACAAATATGGGTAAGATAATCGTTGAATTTATAAGTATCAATGTTTAACTTGTATTATTTCATTAATTTTTTTTTTTTTTAGAAATATTAGTAATAATTCAACAATAAGTGAAGCATCATTCGAAATATTTATACAATCGACAAGTACACCCAAAAAGAGTGCTATTAAAGTATTATCATCAACTCCGACTAAATTTTATAGTTTAATGGCAAAATCATCATCTACAAAATCGAAAATATGTAAAACATGTCAATTTGGAACATTATGTTCGAATCAGTTTCAATATAACAACGTTGATCTCAATAGTTTGATGTATTCTACAACAAAAATTAATAAAACGAACAATAATCAGACATCATCAAAAAGTTTTAAAATATGGAATATATAAATTTTTTTGTTCATGAAGACGAAGTTTTTTGTCATTAATGTAGAGTGTGTCTTTTAAACTTTTAGTAATTCAATAAAAAAAAAAAATAGCAACAATTTGATATGTTAAAAAAATAAAAAGAATTTGTTTTTTAGTTTTACTCTTGACTCTTATAAAGAGAATACTCAAAATTATGAAAAATATACATTTGAAGATAACAATAAATTTGTCACTATGTTTGATGATTTTCACGTATTTTTTTAACAAATAATTGATAGATCCTGTTTCCCGCTAAGTTGCACTATGTTCGTTAAATACTTAAGACAGCACATGCCATTGTCATACTTCTTGATGTTTGTTTTATCAAGAAATATTCACACATATACTTCAATTATAGATCATGAAAGTAAGTCATAATAAACTCTTCTATTTTGTACTTTATTGGTAAATTTGCGCTAATAGTTTGAGAAAACAGAAATACAAAAACGGCAATTGTTATTTAATTGTTTTACAATAACGAAATGATACGAATTAGTAGAAATTCTATTCTTTTCAGACTCAGATATCATTGTAGCAATGTCATATATATTTGTTATCAATGTTCAATGAGGATGATGAAAATCTTTTTTCTTTTTAGTAAATATTTAAATGATCAGTAAAATAACATTTTCACATAGAAGAAATGTCTTCTTATTTAATATAGATTTAACCCGTAATGACATGCGCATTGTTTTTGTTGCATATGGAGTCGCGCGGAATATTTTTAACCCTTGAGCTAAAGTTATCTCTGAATAATTTTTACCCTAGCGCGCGTCCTTACGTGTTAATAGAATGACAGTTATCCAGTATTTTTAAAATTATAAATAATACTTATTTTTCTAACTGTAAATCAGTCTAATATGTTTTCGATGTTATACAATCTTATTACAGATAAAACTATCGAAAATGAAGAGATAACAAGTGAGTTATTTCATGGTAGAGTCTTTCGAACAGACTCTTCTCTTATCTTAGGTGAAAGAAACGCTAAGTTTGTTACTATGAGTGAAATCTTTGTTTTTGATCATGTATAATACAAATACTGTTTACAATGAAGAAAAAGCTGGGAAATTATCACTATTTGACAATTTTGAATACAATGTTATAATATGTTCACTTTATTAACGTAACTGATCACAGTAAACTGTTAATTGATATTAACCCACCCTCAGAAAAGAAGAAAACATTTATTTATTTTTTCTTTCCTTTTCTGTAGAAAGAAGAGAAAATTAATATATATTTATGTACCACTTCATTATCTTATAAATCATTTGTTACTTACAATATATATTATTAAATAAAAAATGATTTTCTTCTCTTAACATTGAATAAAGTACATATATTTCTGCTACAAACTAGTTTGATTAGGAATATTTTTTATTTTTTAATACGTCAAGCAATTTTAATTCTTTTAAGGTAATTATTGACATTATTATAATGCAGTTTTTTTTTAATTTCTACTAAAGTCTAATGAGAGAATGTTTTGTCTTCTTTTCTTTTGCTCAGAATGAACTTTGATATTACCAACCAACAATTATTTGAGTTATATGCTCGTATTACATCGACTCCAAAGTCTACTTTTGAACCATTACCATTAACGTCAACTCCAATAAAAAAGAGAATAAAACCAATTCGATTATCGTTCACAACATCTCCGTGTCATGTATCCGGAAAAATATGGAAACAAATTGATTTAAAACATTTTTTATACTCTAATCAGTCCGAATGTGTTCTTAATAAACAACAACGGCGACAAACAAAATATTATTCAACAAAAATGAAATTATGGATCGTCTAATTTGTAAAAAACAATCATTGATACTTCTTGAGACATTCGACAGTGAGATATTTTTCAAATTGTACAGTTTTCCGTTTGTTATTTCTATATAATAAATTAAGCGTGTTTTTCATTCTGCATTTAAAATTTAGTATTATCATGCAATAACTATCTTCCTAATGGATCTACATGAAACTATGAACACTATTGTGCAATACGAGATGCGGTAGAAGACCTATTATTATTGGGTTATTTTCCTCATCATTATTGAAAAAGATCCAATTACTTCAAATTGATAGATAGAGCATCAAATTTTAATTTCTAAGTTTATTTCATTATAAAGGGTTACGCTCTAACCATAACTTCAACAAGAATAACGTTGAATAATGTACACTAATTTCGACATGATAAGTGTTTATTTAAAAGAGAAAATAAAATTTTATTATCGCATATTTCACTTCGCATATTTCATTGGTGTGTGATAATATATCACATCTAATGTTAAAGAAAAATGTTTTTTTTATTCTTAAAAATAATAATGCTATTAACAAATTGCAGAGTTAGTGAAACGCTTTAAATCATGAAAAACGTGATTTCCATGTCAATTTACACTATTCATATGATTTCGAACTTCTCCAAACAAGAAACATTTCGCTCGAAATTTTAGCCTGAGGATCCAGGTTCTTTTTTTTTTACTAAATTTTGATGGAAACGTATTTCACTTGGGAAAATTCGAAATCATATGAATAGTGTAAATTGACATGGAGATCACGTTTTCATGGTTTAAAGCGTTCATTTCGTCGTTATCATGAACCTGTTGTGGTCATATGCGTTAAGCAAGAAAAACCTGACTGGACGTTTAGAATTTTAATTGCGAACTTTCTGACTTTCGTTTGAAAATGAGACACTTAAGAACTTTTTTACATCAGAATGATGCGTGATCAACGCGTATAGAAGAGATAATATCAATCTAACAGGACATTTTTTCAAGTTCTGTGATCATGTATCGTTTTGCCTATTTCTCCAAGAATAGAGAAAACTAAATTAAATTACTTAGCCGATATTGTTAATCATTTCTTAGGCGTATTAACCGTTAAAAACGAAGTTTTATAAATAGCTCTTATTAGAAATAACTCGTTTTCATTTGTACTCTCAAATATGAAGAATATACGGCTGAAAATTATTAATTTTGGTTGAGAACCGTAAGAGTAATACTGACGACTCGTTCCATGTGACTTATTTTCTTTCTTTCGTAAGTAGCAGAAAATGATTCTTAAACAAAATAGATTTTAAAATCGTTCTAATCGTTGAACTCATACCGACCCATTTCCAAAGAAATTTTATTGATTTGATGTTAGATAGCTCTCTTATTCCTTCTTGAAATAAATCAGCGCTTAATATACTTAAAGTGAATTTCATTTAAGATCCCAATCTCTTTATTTATTCTACTAATTCCTAACTGTTCTTGAGCAGAAAAGGCACGCACTAAAATTGATTTTTTTTGTACTCGGTAATCTTACACTTTGAGGGGAAAATAATTGGTAAAGTTCTGATGCTGATGAAATGGAAGTCGAACGTTTTAGTTGAACTAATGAACTTTTTGAAGGGCTAATTGACTCTGTATAATTCTAACCTAGTATTGAATGCGATATGATACGATCCGTTTAAGAAAATGATGGTTATATTAGAGATGGTTGTGCTTTTAGCATGATCATTAGATTGAGAAGTAGGATGATGGCTCTTACTGGCTAAAAGCTAACTAGGCATAAGTTAACTGGATAGTCTCATTTGAGATATTGAATTATTTCTAAAACGAGAGCAGCAGAGGGATTCGAATGAGTAGATTTTTAAATATTTGCTGCAGTTATTTTTCTACAATTTAACTTCAAAAAACCAAAAATCATAAAGGAATCTTCGTTTTTCTGACAAATTGAATCCTAATTAGATACCTCCTATCCACACAACCACACATCGAAAAAAATTTCTCGTTATCTTCTTTTGGCCGAAACTCACAGCCGATAATAACGACTAAAAGAAGGATTAGAAAAAATTGCCAAAAATACGAAAAAAGTGTAGAGGAGCAGTATGGCCGATAGAAAATAAAGAAACTAAAGCTGTTGGATACGATAAGAAGTTGTTTCGCACATCTTAAGTCATTAAAAGCACTCGAAATCGATAAACTTTTTCCCGAAGAACTGTTTGGTTTAGATTATTAAGCTGTAGTCCATGGATAAGACTGGTTTGTGTGAATATGCCGATCAGTACACTTATATTCTTACATCTCTTATTAAAAAATTGAATAACTTTTGACGGGAAGGTTTTAGAAAGTTGAAGTTATGGTACTTAGGTAAGTTAACATGGAGAATCTGATGGAATTGTTTTCAGATTTTTAGAGTTTTCCAAAGAATCTTCAACAAAGTTTGTCGGTTTCTATCGAATTCTATGTTGGTCTCGATGCGAAACAACGGAATATGATATTTGGCGTCATCTGTGGTTCCAGTCATTTATTATGTGGTTCGTGCATTATATTGAGGCGCCGTTAACTCAAAGTTTCCGTAAAAACTTTTTTCCAGAAATTTATGCATGGTTGAATAGAGCACATCGAGATGCGTAAGAAATGTTGTTTTTAGTCTCTCAAAAGACTTTATGGAGGAGAAAATTGAAAAGTTTTGAAGATTGCTCATTGTTGAAAAAAATACCTAATTTTCGAAAACATTCAGTTTTCCGACCCCAGCTTTGCTCTGGACATTTGAAATTGTTTTTTTCTTATTCAATGTCAAAAGTCGAATAGAAATAACTACGTTTGAGTTTTTCGGGATGTGAAAGGAAATTTGGGTACATTAATCTGGAGCAGAGGCTCGAAGATGCCACCGGACCATTCAGCATTCCCCGAAGTTTATGTAACCTTCCGTCGTCGAGACAGAGTTGCAACTGGTCTAAAACTAAGAGGCTGACCGATTCAAAACAGCAGACTGGACCGGCAGGCTGAAAAATCTTTTTAGACCGGTAAAAATTCGGCAGAGAACTGGCCGGTTTTAGAAATTTCTTAAACCGGTGAAAAACTGGCACGGTGAAAATCCTCAAAAAAAACGGGTGGTTGAGAACTTTTATCAGTAAAACTAAATATCTTTAAGGAAAAGTGGTCTCTCCTAGCTTTTTCTTATTTCTCCTGGTTGTTTTATCGAGTTTCTTTTGAATGAAGACGAGAAAAATGCTAAAAATTCTAAAAACAGCATAAAAACGGTTGACACCGGCCGGTTTGAAAATTTTCCCAGATCGGCAACAGACCGGCTGGTCTGAAGTTTTGACCGGGCCGGCACGTGATCGACCAGGTTTCAACGCTGCGTCAAGATCTTCACTTTTGAATGTGCATGTAACGGCTTTGATAATTTACGTCCAGAGTCTTCTAAAGGTCGTGGAGGCTTCGGAAAAGTCTTAATTTGTAGGAAATTCATTTCTCTATCATTGTAGATGGCTTTGAATGCTTTGGAACAAAAAGGGTACTATCAATAGACACATTTACAAACAGGTTTGATAGATATAAAGATATTGCTATTGATAATACCAATATCACAATTTTCTTTTGGTTAGAGTTAGGGATAGAGAAGTTATTTATAGAAAAAAATCATCAGACAGTTCTGAAGTACACGTCACAATATCGCAAAGACGCTTTAGAAAGAAACTTGCGCTTCTTTGCAGTATGTAATACTACACGTTTTACGATTATTTTAATTTTCTCTAGGGTGCTAAAACTTCAAAGGTCAACCAAGATTTTTTTCCGCTTTATTAGTACATGGTTGCATAATAAAATAAAATTCACATTCTTTTCTTTCTCGTGTTTCTAACTTTTTTTGAAAGTATCTTTTTCAGATTCAGCATTAAAAACTGAGTACGAGAATGATGCTTGATCGAAGTCGAAGTCAGAGGCCTATTCAATATGGACGACTTGGACTCCTATTATGAAAAGTTCATAAATAATTTTGCAAACCTATTTAGTTTTTTCTGTGAAGAGATGAAGTCGAATTTTGAACTTCAGAGCTGGGCAGCTCCGGTTCCGGAGCCGTCTCCGTTCATAAACGGAGCCGGAGCTGGACGGGAAGGGTTGAGTTCAGAGCGGGAGCCGGTGCCGGTGTGCGGATGATGATGTGCGCGTTCGATCGAGGTAAAAATGACACTCTTACGGCAGACAGTTATATGAGTGTGTGCGCTGATGATAGGTTAATATACCCTGCCTCAGTCTTGACCTTCTTCTATCAAATATAACGCTTTCGAAAGAAGATTTTTTATGTATATATCATGCAGTTATAGAGTATATTTGTACTTCAAAACAATTTTCATTTTCATATTTTTCCTTACTTGAAGGTCTAGAAAATTCAGTTAAAAGAAAAACAGGGAAAAATGAACATCTTTTAAACCCGGAGCCAAGAGACGTTGGAGCTGCCCAGCTCTGACCTCTATTGACCGAGCTTTGAAAGGATGATAAAATTTTGAAATATAGGTCATTCGATTTAGTTTTTTTTATTGCTTAACCCTTTACACCCGCCGATCCCTTCCAAGGGACGTTGATATAATAGATTTATAAAAAGAACGGATCATCAGCCAAAAAGCTAGATTATTACTAATTTAAGACAATACATGAAAAACACCTAACTCTGCTATCGGAGTGTCTGTGCGTTACCGTTTTTTCTCTTTTCGTCTATCCTATAATTTTCGAAAAGAATATCGTAGAATCCTGGAAAGCGCCTTGTTTTGTAGAATGAAGTGCGTTCTTGAAAATCCACCACTAGCTCAATTCGAAATAATTGACGACTTTTCAGTTACGATCGAAATACTAAAAGCCCTAAAACCAAACGACAGTGTTTTTGGGGCTCTTCGTACTTTAAGTATAGCATAAACAGCGTCAGTTATTTCGAATTGAGCTGGTGGTCGATTTTGAAGAACGCACTTCATTCTACAAAACAAGACGCTTTCCAAAAACATTATTTTTGCCCACTTTGTATTTCTTCAAATGTTTTCCAAAA